AGCAGAATTCATTGTTGGAGGCAACATGCAAGTACCCCTAATTTGCATAACCATCCTATAGAATGTGGGCGCAAGTATTTCCCAGAATTCCTTATAGAGTTCAGCGGGAAAACCATCTGGCCCAGGGGCTTTATTATTCGGCATATGTAAGAGAGCTTCCTGGAGTTCAGCCATTGAAACAGGTGAATCCAGAGCCCTGATCTGTTCATCATCTAACCTTGGCAAATCTATATTGTTCAGAAATGCATCGATGTTAGAGCTAGATGGGTCAATTTGTGATGTATATAAGTTTTTATAATAATCTCTGAATGCATTGTTGATTTCTTCTGGGTTATAAGTCAGATTCCCAGCTGAGTCCTTTAAGGAAGAAATAGTTATTTTTTCTTTATTCAATTTCAATCTGCCGGATCTATTGCCATGTTCAAAGTTCTCCAAGCGTAGTCTTTGCAACTGAAATTGGGTCTTTTTATTAATAATTTCATTTAATTCAAGTTTTGATTTTCTCAGATCATTCAGCATGTGTTCCTGTGGGGAGGCAGCAAGGGTAGTTTCTAATGTTTTTATTTTTTGTTCTAGCTGTAATTCACAAGATCTCTCTTTCTTTTTTTTGTATGATGAATAGGAGATTATTTTACCTCTCATGACTGCTTTTGCTGCCTCCCAAAGAAGACATGGCGAGGTTCCTGGCAGGTCATTAGTTTCCATATATATTGCCCACTCCTTTTTGAAGTAATTTATAAAATCTAGGTCTTTAAGCAATGATGCGTTAAATCTCCAACTTCTAGTTGGCTGTGTGACCCTTTTTTTAGTAAGAGTGATAGAAACCGGTGCATGATCACTGATAGTGATAGGGTGAATCTGAGTGTTGGAAATGTCTGTCATAATTGAGCTGCTAACCAAAAAATAGTCAAGGCGAGAAAATGAGTGGTGGACTGGTGAAAAGAAGGTATATTCTCTAAGAGTGGGGTGGTGAGAACGCCAAACATCACAAAGACCAAAATCGCTCATGTATTGTTTAAGGATGTCTGTTGATTTCCAAATACGGTGACCACCTGCCGTACTGAGCCTGTCAACTGCTGGATTACATACCATGTTGAAGTCCCCTCCTAATATAAGAGCTGTGTCTGAGTGAGCAGAGAGTGAGTTGAAGAAAGCATGAAAAAAGGAGGGGTCGTCAACATTTGGGCCATAGATGTTAGCAATGCATAAAGGAGTATTTTGAATCGAAATGTTAACAATAATGAATCGACCCTCTGGATCAATAGTAGTGTTATTATGATTGAAGTGTGTTTTTCTATTTATCATAATGGTGACACCCCTTTGTTTTGAGTTATAACAGGCTGAGTACGAGTGAGGAAACTGTGGTGAGGTTAGTTTATCTGCTGTCTTGGGTAAATGAGTCTCCTGTAGTAGGACAATGTCTGCTTGCAGATTATTTAGATGGTTAAAAATTTTTAATCTCTTTTCCCTTGAACCAACTCCGCGTACATTCCAAGAGGTGATTATAAGTGAGGTCATCATTCAACTAAGGGATGTGGTGATGGCTAGTGTGTGCAGTGTGCGTGTTGTATCATTGTGTGTGTTGTATGCGCCTGTATGTGTGTGTCTATGTGTTCATGTTGTATGCGCCTGCGTGTGTGTGCTAGCGGTGTGCCCGACTGTTTGTGAATTAAACAGTATGAAAATTGCGCAGCTGATCGATGTGTAAACGGCGGAGGAAGAGCAACATTAACAAAAGAAAGAAACAGTGAAACAAAAACAGGGAAAATACACAAAACATTATCGGACAGACTAGTCAGATAACCACAGTATAGGCTGTTGAGACGTGCACTGTATTTTATAACTATTAACTTGCCATATGTCACGGAGTAATTAACTGATAGGGGAAAAAATGATCGCATAGTGATACAGTTCACCTGTTGCTGGACTTGGTTCTTAGTAGAGCCAAGGAGTGGTGTCTCGGTCGCGGTACAGCTGGCCATCGACGTAAAGTTTATCCACCGCGATGACAGCCCGTGATCCTTCTCCAATAAGCTTCTTTCTTATCGGGAACAGGACTCGGCGTCGGTCCAGGATCTCCCGGGGAAACTGGTCGTTAACGCTGAAGTTGGTCCCTCTCAGCTCCCTGCCGCGGCCTTTAACCAGTTCCTTCTGCTTGAAGTGTTCAAACTTCGCGACGATGGGCCTGGGCCTCTGGTTCTCCTGTCGCCGTCCTCCCAGGCGGTGCACCCGGTGGAAGCTGATGTTCTTCACGGTCTCGGCCGGGAGCTTCAGTTGATTTTGGATGAAGCTTTTAACGGTCTCCTCTGGGGTTTCATCCGCCTGCTCCGGGATACCCGAAATGACCAGATTATCCCGCATACTACGAGCCTGGAGATCGATGATTGCTTCTCTAATGTTTTTATTGTCTGCCGAGAGCCGCGTCATTCCCTCCGTGAGGGATTTAACCGAACCTTTGAGGACCTTGTTTTCTGCCGCGAGCTCAACCACCTGTTTCTGGCTGAACTCCAGGGATTCCCGCAGAGCCTGAAACTCTTTGTGAAGTACTTCCACAAGAGATAATCGGGCATCAAAGCTGGACAATTTCTTGTCTATTGAATCCAGAATCTCTGTAAAATCTGCACCTTGCGAGGAGACTGCTCCAGGTGATGCTCCAGGTGAGTCTTCAGTGCGGTTTCTTTTTGATTTCCCCATGACCACTCGATGAAAACACTGGTCAATATAAACTTCAAGGTCCTCCAAACACTCGTCCTCGAGGTCCTCCAGTGCGATTTGACTGCTCTTATTTGTTAATTCGCTTAAAATTGGCGGATTGTTTGTTTAATGAATTGTTTGTTTAGCTGCGCGCTGCCATGTTTGAATTGCACCAAGTCTCACGAGATTACACAAACGCTCACCGTGTCATCTCCTGACTTAAAATTTTAATCGCAATTAATCGCATTGTTATGCACAAAATTGAATAATGAATTCTAAAGTAGTGTATTGCGCACTTTTAATTTAAATGTACTGCATCATTAACAAGCAAGCGGCTCAAACCTTTATTTAACCAAGATAAAAAACTCGAGATTAAACATCTCTTTTACAAGAGCGTCCTGGCTCACCTGCTGCTGTGATAACGGATTGCGGGTGGAAAAATATGTATATTATATATATATACCGGGTGCTCTATAGCGCAACATAGGTGACACAGAAGTTACGTTTAAGTCCTCCGTGTTCAAAGCCTGTGACAATTCAGAGCCGCAACGGCAGAGCTGCGTAATATATAATATCGCGTCACACCCCGATACGCTACACGTGCGAGGGCCCGCCCAATGCTTCTTGCAGGCCCCTACTGAAATTGAAGGGATTCTTTTTTTCTGCAAAATAAAACTTAATTTTGGGGACCTAAACATGCTCCATAACTCACCGAACTTTGCACATAATTCAGGCGGGGCGAAAAATTTCGTATTTTATGGGTCACGCACATGGGAAAACGGCTCAGTAGCGCCCCTACAGAGCAGCTCCCAGCCGAAGTTTACGACGTGTACGAAATTTCTGTCGTGCATGCATCATATCCAGATGCACAGAAAAGCCTCATGTAGCGATGCCCCACACCCAACAGGAAGTCGGCCATTTTGGTTTTAATGGTCATTTTTGGCGATTTACAAACTTTGAACTTTAACGAACTCCTCTTAGGGATTTAGTCCGATCGACTTCAAATTTCGGCTTTGCAGTCTATACCCGTTGACGATTAAAAGTTGTACAAACGGTCATTTTTCGTCCACGAGCATGCCCATGGCGTGGCCTCGAAAATCGAGGATTCGCCAAGAAACAGGAAGTTGTTACAACTACAACGTACATGCTCACATCTGTACCAAATTTGACATGTATAATAAGAGTCCTGCCCTGAACACATCTATCTGCCATCATACACTCAAAGCCATACCGCCACCTGCTGGCAACACGAAATGTTACACGCTTCTCTGTGACACAGGAAGTTGTAATAATTTCAGTGCACATGCTCACATCGGCACTAAATTTGATATGTATAATAAGAGTCCCGCCCCGAACATCCACATCACTCAAAGTCATAGCGCCACCTGCTGGCAACAGGAACTGACCTTTAACGAAGCAGTTTACCTACATATACAAAATTTCTGTGGCAAGTGTATCATGTCCAGACGTACAAAAAGCCTCTTGGAGCAATGCCACTGACGATTAAATGTTGTACAAATGGTGGGTTTTTGTGGAATGGTGTGTCCGTGGCATGGCATCCAAATTCGATGATTCGCCATGAAACAGGAAGTTGTTGTACCTTGACTGTACATATTCAGATCTGTACCAAACTTGACATGTTTCATAAGAGTCCCTGCCTGAACAGGTCTACAAGCCAATATTCAGTCATAGTCATAGCGTCACCTGCTGGCAACAAAAAGTGACAACAGGAAGTCGGCCATTTTGAATTTTATGGTCATTTTTGGATGATTTACATACTCCATACTTTAACAAACTCCTGCTAGAGAGTTAGCCCGACCAACTTCAGACTTTCACTGTCTAGTCTAATCCCGCTGACAATTAAAAGTTGTTCAAAGAATGAGTTTTCATGAAACGGCGTGCCCATGGCGTGGCGTCCAAAATCGATTATTCGTCCTAAAAGAGGAAGTTGTTGTAACTTCAGTGTACATGCACACATCTTCACCCAACTTTACGTGCTTGATAACAGTCCTGCCCCAAATACATCTCCATGTTCAATTATGTAGCGCCACAAACACAAGACACAGGAAGTGATGATTAACACATTTGTGCAGCGTCCAAAGAGCGTGACAAATTCACAGCCACACCGGCACAGCTCCAGAATCTGTAACGCGGCTGCCTCACACCTCGACACGCTACATGTGTACATGTGCCACAAATTATTTAATTTTACAGTACCAGTTGCATATGTTTTTATGCACTTCTGCATCTTTGTAAGCATCTTACATTACAAATTGCAAATGTCTTTAGTATTATTAGATGTCTAGGCAAAATAATTTATGCAATTGCATGCAATCTTGCTAACATGTGGGAAGTTCAACATGATCCCTACGCTCATTAACATGGTGGCAGCCTTCACGTCAGTGGGAGTGGTAAGTTTTACTGGTATACTTGACACAACCAATCTAGTCTAAGTTCGTTATACCAGTCATGTTTCATTCAGTGCTTTTGTGTTTTTTTGTCAGGACTGATAAACTGAGCTGTATATTACCTTTTTATCTCTGACTTTAAGTGTTATCTCAAGTACAATACCTACTTTATTGTGAACTGTGTTGAGTTTTAAAACATGAATAGTGAAATCATGGAGTTTCTACTCTTGCTTTGTTGAGTGCTTTAAAAATAAAGGTTATTGTTATTATTATTATTATACAGGGCACAGTGCTGTGTGACATCATACTGCTGAACTTCCTGAAAGGAGCAGAGCAATACAAGGCCAAGAAATTTGAAGAGGTAAAAATATCCTGTTCTTAATGTGATGTGCACCTTATTAATCACAGTTTTGGTAATATGTGGTTTGTCCACATTTAACGCTTTTTTTGCCACTTGGAGGCAGTAGAACAAGCTGTAAACACAACAGTGACAACACAGCAACCACATTCCTCTTTGACAGAGAGGCAAGAGATTATGTTAAATAAAAAAGAAAAGCTGCCTACTTAAAAACAACTCCATGTGGCCACCACCGGCCAGCTAAGGCGCATAATACCCACAAGCACATCCACAATATCAAACAAACAAATAAACAATCAATGCTCAGCAGCGACCTGCCCCCCAAATGATAACAGCCTTTAAAACAGCGGCACGGCAGCCACACCAAATGAAAAAGCACTGTTACTCACCTCTTTGAATGGCATCCGACATTGAGCAAAATCTTTGACAATGTCCTTAGTAAAAAATTTGTTAAACAAACAAACTTACTTGGGAGCTTTGCAACCCTCTCCTCCTGTTCTTTTCTCTCCTGTCTCTTCTTGAAACAACTTTCATGTTTAAATAGCATGACTGCTAGCTTGCAAGTGTGCTCTGTTACTGGCTACTTGTGAGATTTTGCGTTGTCTTGTTGTCTTGTCACATGATCAAATAGAAACTTAAGATTGGACAGCCATACACATATTACCCAGCAATGTAATATGTAGCTATGTGACATGAATATACCCTACTAAAGAAAATAAGACAATATTCATTCTGTGGAATCTATTTTTTATACTTTGCCTTTTGTAAGCCTTTTGTGGATAAAACTACTGACTGACACCCTGGCAAAGGGGGATATGCACATTTGAGGATATATATACCATGTGATCTCACTGGTGATGTAGTGGGAGGAGGCAAGCTGTGCATCTACTGTTGCATGATGAACACCGTTCATGCGTGCGGCTGCACTGGCCCTTGCCCCACACCATTACATGTCCCCCAGCAGCCTGAACCGTTGATACAACGCAGGGTGGATCCATGCTTTCATGTTGTTTATGCCAAATCTGACCCTACCATCTGAATGACGCAGCTGAAATGGAGACTCATCAGACCAGGAAACGTTTCTCCAATCTTCTATTGTCCATTTTGGCTGTTCTTAGCTGACAGGAGTGGCACTCAGGGTGTGGTTTTCTACTGCTGTAGGCATCTGCTTCAAGGTTAGACGTGTTGCTTGTTCAGAGATGGTATTCTGCATACCTTGGTTGTAACAAGTCATTACTGTTGCCTTTATGTCATCTGGAACCAGTCTGCCCATTCTCCTCTGACCTCTGACATCAACAAGGCATTTTCGTCCCCACAACTTCCGCTCACTGGATATTTTCTGTTTTTCGGACCATTCTCTGTAAACCCTAGAGATGGTTGTGCGCGAAAATCCCAGTAGATCAGCAGTTTCTGAAATATTCAGACCAGCCCATCTGGCACCAACAACCATGCTACGTTCAAAGTCACTTAAATCCCCTTTCTTCCCTATTTTGATGCTCGATTTGAACTTCAGCAAGTTGCCTTGACTTCATCTACATGCCTAAATGCATTGAGTTGCTGCCATGTGATTGGCTGATTAGCTATTTGTTTAGTTAGCAAATGAACAGGTACCTAATAAAATAATAGCTGTTGAGTGTATAATGTGCAGAATTATTAGACAACTAAAATACCAAGATAAATCAAATTACTTGTTTGTTCTCAGTTTGTGTAACAACACAAAATGACACAAAGGTTTTTGGCCTTTCAAATATATTTAGTAACCAATATAGCCACTCTTCTTTTCAGTAACTGCATTGAGCTTTCCATCCACGGAGTCTGTCAGTTTCTTGATCTGTTCACTTCACCTTTTACTGAAACAGCCTCCCAAATGCTGTTAAAAGAGGTGTATTGTCTTCCCTGACTGTAAATCTGGGCCTGTATTTATCAAGCTTCTCAGAATTACTCATAAGAACACTGCTAAGAACTGACTTAAGAGTAAAAGAATTCTTGGCTCAAAGCTGTGCTTAAACGTTAGTTATCAAGTATCATAGTCCTAATTTGAGTGAAGTGTAGGACTAAATCTTAAGTGTCAGTCTTACTTGCTGATTCACGACACTTTGCTGTGCTGCAAAAAGGATTTTGGATGATGACCAAAGGACCAATCACTGAAGAGATTTCCTTATTTAAGAATATTCTAGATTCTTAATTTTCAAGATAATAAATTATGATATAGGCCTACACATTAATAAATGAAATATAAAAAACAGGATTTTGGATGACGATGTAGGCAAGGACCAATCACTAAATAGATTTCCTTATTTAAGAATATTCTCAGATAAATTCACGTTGGGTGTTGGGAAGTCGATGAAATGCGTGACAATGTGTGGAACTGTGTAGTGAACTTACCTTTGTTAAGGATATTATGAATAATAATGTTTGAAATATTATATCATAAGAACTCGTTTTGGGCACCACCTAAAATTTGCTGTCCACCCAAGGCTTTTCGGACTCCTTGGGTATAGCTAATAATTGCCAACAATTGTAACTAGTGATCAGTTAGTTTTTAAATGCTCAGTTATTTTACAGTTTTTTCCAACTGCTTATTCACAAACTCTTTACATGTCACACAGTTTTTGAAACCTCTCACTCAAAGAGCAAAACCTCATCTCAAATCTCCAAAACCATTAGCTATTTCTCAGCCTTTCACTCAGTTTTCAGTTGCATAAAACACTTTTTTCAAAACACTGCACACAATCCTCTACCAAAGACACAAAAATCTAACAGGAAGTGACCTGCTTTCCTGTCCCAAACACAACCAAAAATCCAAACTCTGCACTTATTCACCAGGTCACACAGCCACTCCTCGCATGTGCAAACACTAACTGCTTAACTGATCACTAACCAATCACTGTTTTAGTAAACAGTAGATCTATACATAGGTCAAAGGTTAAATTACCTGTTTTGAACAATGGATGCCAACAATGGACAGAGAGCGGCGTACCAGTATCGGGTTCTTCCGTTCGCCCTAGCACTCTCTCCTCGCACCTTCACCAAATGCATGGATGCAGCTCTAGCCCCGATGAGGCTCCCAGGCGTCTGCATACTGAAATACATTGACGGCTGGCTCATCTTGGCTCAGTCTCGGGAGTTAGTGGTTCGGCATCGAGATGTCGTCCTCGCCCACCTTCAGCGTTTGGGGCTGCAGCTCAACGCGAAGAAGAGCGTGCTGACGCCCACCCAACGGACTACGTTCCTAGGGGTGGTCGACTATGCCGGCCCACCTGTCGCCTGCATGCGTCGGGTCCATTTTGTCCACAGTGACCAGAGTTCAGTTAGGCTGCACCATCACTGTAAAACACTTTCAGAGGGTGTTGGGTCTCCTGGCAGCAGCATCCAGTATAATACCTTCTGGCCTGCTGCACATGAGAGCCCTGCAGTGGGGGTTAAAATCCAAGGGATTCTCCCCGAGGGGAAATCCGCTCCATCTGATACGGGTTACGAGCAGGTGCCTTCATTCCCTGTCAGTATGGAGGAAATCTTGGTTCCTGTCCCAAGGTCCCGTGTTGGGAGCGTCATGTCGCCGAACAATTATTCGACAGATGCCTCACTCACGGGATGGGGCGCAGTCATGGACGGCCGCTTTGCGAGAGGCTACTGGGAGGAGCATCATTTCTCTTGGAACATAAATTGCCTGGAAATGTTGGCGGTTTTCAGAGCTCTAAGGAGTTTTCTGTCCGCCCTCCGCGGCCGCCACATCCTTGTCAGGACCGCCAATACGGCAGTGGTGGCCTATTTGAATCACCAGGAGGGTCTGTGCTCGTGCCCATTATGCAAGCTGGTGCATCAGATCCTCCTGTGGTCCCAGCAGAGACTGCTGTCCCTCAGAGCGATGTATATCCCTGGGACCCAGATTCAGGGAGCAGACCTGCTGTCGCGACAGGGGCTGAGGCCCGGGGAATGGAGACTCCACCCCGAGGTGGTGGAGTGGTTGTGCGAAGGTTCGGCCCAGTAGCCGTGGACCTGTTTGCGTCTTGAGAGACTACGCACTGTCCACTCTGGTTCTCTCTCTCACCCCCAGCCCACTAGGGCTGGATGCCATGGTGCAGATGCCGAGGCTGCGTCTGTATGCTCTTCCCCCAGTTGCTCTGCCCCCGGGAGTTCTGGAGGGGGTCCGTCAGGACGGTGTCAGCCTACTGTTAGTAGCCCTGTTTTTGTCCGGTTTTTGTCTCGGACATAATATTGCTCCTAGAGGGCCCGCCCTGGCAGGTCCCCCTCTGAGGAGAGACCTGCTGTCCCAGGTGGAGGACCGGGCCTTTCACCCGCGCCCTGTCCTGTGGCAGCTATGGGTCTGGCCTCTGAGGGGTCGCAGTTCTTAGTGGCGGGCCTGACGACTGGAGCAGTCTCATGTTAAACTCAGATAAAACTGAAGTTATTGTTCTGGGGCCTAAGCACCTCCGTGACGCATTATCTAAAGATATAGTTTCCCTAGATGGCATCGCCCTGGCCTCCAGCACCACTGTGAGGAATCTTGGAGTTATCTTTGATCAGGACATGTCGTTTAAGTCTCACATTAAGCAAATTTCAAGGACCGCCTTTTTTCACCTACGTAATATTGCGAAAATCAGGAACATCCTGTCTAAAATGATGCAGAAAAACTAGTCCATGCATTTGTTACTTCTAGGCTGGATTACTGCAATTCCTTATTATCAGGCTGCTCGAAAGACTCTTCAGCTGATCCAGAATGCAGCAGCACGTGTTCTGACAGGAACCAGGAAAAGAGATCACATTTCTCCTGTTTTAGCTTCTTTGCATTGGCTTCCAGTAAAATCCAGAATAGAATTTAAAATCATTCCTCTTACCTACAAAGCTCTTAATGGTCAGGCACCATCTTATCTTAAAGAGCTCATAGTACCTTACTACCCCACCAGAGCACTGCGCTCCCAGAATGCAGGGTTACTTGTGGTTCCTAGAGTCTCCAAAAGTAGACTAGGAGCCAGAGCGTTCAGCTATCAAGCTCCTCTCCT